AGCGACGAGGAGTCCTGTGGCACCTTATAGACTAACTGAAGCGTAGGAGCATAAGCTTTCGTGGGCAAAGACCCACTTCATCAGACTACATGCATCTGACGAAGTGGGTCTTTGCCCACGAAAGCTTATGCTCCTACGCTTCAGTTAGTCTATAAGGTGCCACAGGATTCCTCGTCGCTTTTGCAGATTCAGACTAACACAGCTACCCCTCTGATCCTTTTTCAAGAACATTTATGAGAAGTTTAACAGCAGTGATCCAAATGCAGATCCCTGCAGCACAACACTCATCCCTATCCCCCCTCCCAACTTTTAAGTGGAATACCTGGCAATGTTTTCATAATGATCCTTCAATCACTAACGTACTAACGCCCAGCCTTTCTTATGCTTAATCACCCTGCCTTCCACTCTTTAAAACAAACTCCCTGCCCCAAAGGCAAAGCTGCAAGCTGCTCAAACGCTGTTGCACTTAAGACTTGCCTCTGGAGTCAAGGCATGCAGCGTTAAGCAGACCTCAGGTATGAAACCCAAGGCTTCCAATTTCAGGGAGGAGGAAGGCTACTGCCTGCCCTTCCCCCCATAAATGGTGCCCTTGCCAGCCGGGCCAGTAACTGCTCCTGGCCCTTGTTGCACGACTATGGCTGCAGCAAGACCAGGGCGAGCACAGAGGCAGCCAGCGCAGGCTGCAGGACTTAAAGGCTGGAACGAGATGCCAGCGCCACGTCCAGTCTCACCAGTGTGCACGTGCCTGAGCAGGTAGCTCCACCCAATGTTTCTATATCCTGGGAAATTTTCCAAATTCTGGGAATTTTTGAGTAATAGGTGTCAAAATGGGAAATTGAGAATTTTCTTGAAAATCTGTTAAATTCTGGGAAATTTTCAATGAAATTAAAATTTCTGTTCATTTTGTCGTTCCTTTGGAATAAAAATTTGCGGACGATTCAGATTTATCAAAAACTGCTCTCAATTGGTGAATAGGGTTGCCTGTCAATTATTAGAACTCTTTGAACTTGATGCTAAAAATTGTACAGTGGAAGGCATTTATACTAAATTCAAGGAGTCAATGTTCAAAAAAAATATCCCATTGAATAATTTTTGGGTGTTGCTTGTAATGATGCAAATTTGATGATAGGAGCGAAGAATTCCCTTTTCTCTAAACTTAGAGAGGATGTTCCAAATGTTGTTTTGCTGAGATGTATTTGCCATACATCAGCCCGGATATCAAGTTCAGCTTCTACAGTTTTGCCTGATTTCATACAGCAGTTTATAACAAATATCACTAACTATCCAGCACATAGTGTTAAAAAGAAAGAAGAAATTGAGATGGTTGAATATTTTCTCCATTTAAAGTTATCTATGTTAAAACCAAGTTAAACAAGGTGGTTAGCTGTACACCCTTGTTTAAATAGAATATTAGTGTTGTGGGATGCCTTGTTTAACTATATACAACTTGAGTGTGTTGATCAAAAAAGTCCAATAGCAAAAGAATATATGATGCAATGTGTAATCCAGAACTTAAAGCCTACCTACTATTTTTGAAATGTTTTGGATTACATGAACAAATTCAATACTCTCTTTCAAAGCAAATTTCCACTCATTCATTGCATTAAACTAGAGTCAGTGAAACTTTTCAAAGTAATTGCTACAAATTACTTAAAACCACATTTCCTAAAACGTGAATTAACGAAAGTTAATGTGTTGCATCCCTCTAATTTTATCAAAATTAATGAAATGTACACTGGTCCAGAATGTGAGGAATACTTAAAATGTATTGATCCTCATGTAATGTAAGAAATGTATGTAATGTATGTAAGAAAATGAATGTAAGAAAAGTGATTCAGCATTATTACATCACTTGTTGTCAAGAAATGTAGCGCATGCTGCCACTTGACTCAGTTGTTTTCTCAGAGGTTGGATTTATAGATCCTAAAATTTGTTTTAATATTGATGTAGATATCTTTTTTTCTTTATCTCAAAACTTCGTGCAATATTTAAGATAGATGTGAACTCTGCTCAGAGTGAACTCAGAGCCTTGCCATTTTCTTTAGGATCAAATCAAATTGAATTGTGTAAAGAATAAGCCTATTGATGAAATGTGACATGAAATTTCTAAAATGAAACATTTTTCTGGAAAATTTATGTTTTCAAATGTTTGTAAATTAGCTCAAAAGGTTTTAGCATTGCCACGTTCAAATATAGAATGAGAGAGAATTTTTTCAATGGTTACAGACATTAAAACTAAGAAAAGGAGTAACATGAAAACTAAAACACTTAATTCTAGTGTAATTGTCAGATCAGCTTTAAAAAAATAAATGTTCTAGTTTTGTAATTACAAAGAATGATTTAAGTTTACATAATAAAAATATGTACGAATATGGATATGCCAGAAAAACTGGTGGTCAGACTGATAAAAATATTAATGATGGTGTGACATTTCTAGTGAGGAGTCAAGTCATAACTCATCTGATGAGTAAAACGCATGGTGATGGTTAAGTATTATGTATTAAACATTCTATTCATTTTATAAAAAACGAAAATGTTTTATATTTGATGAGTTCCTTTATTTCTCATATATAACCGAAATGATACTGAAGTGTATACTGTACTGATTTTATCTTGCAGGAGTAAAATAATTAAAATGTTTTATTATTCTTTCCTTTTATGAAATACCATCCATGAAGTAATTAAGGATATTTGGATATATAAACATAATTATTCTTGGATGAAAAGTTCAGCTTTAATAAAATTATATTTTTAATTATAGAGAGCATCATAAAATCATCAACATTATTCTCGTATATTTCGAGTTAATGATTTTATATATATAATAAAACCAATGAATTAACTATACATAAAATAGCCTTTATACCATATACAAATAATCTGGGAATTCTTCATCAGATCTGGGAAATGTTTAGCCCTGGCCTGGGAAAAGTTGGCCACGCGATATAGAATCACTGGCTCCGCCCCGCCTGGCCCGCGCCTGCGCAGTTTCTGACGGCAGAGGCTGCGGCCGCGCGCACGGCTCTCCAGTCTCCCTCGCTGCCGGGATGCCGAAGCTGAGCAAAGAGGCCAAGCAGCGGCTGCAGCAGCTCTTCA